AGGACCTGCTTTGTAGGCCAGCCCTGGGAAGGGCAGTCTCTCCGGGGTCAATAAGGCCCCAGGTGTCAAAACATCAGAGTAAAAAGACATGCTTAATGCCATGTTGAAGCCAAGTTTCCTTGGTGACCAACAGAACGCTACAACCAAGGGAAGGCATGTATCCTAGTTAGGTGCCCACCGCCATGACTGGCACAGCTTCCTCACCTCCCCCAGAATGGAGAGAGGCCCGTCGCTCCACCTGGAGAACAGAACTTAAGCTAAAGGAGCTGAAAGGTCCATCTGCTCAGGCTTCCTCCTACCTTCCCCCCATCCCCCCCAGCTCCATCCTACTCCAGGCCACAGCTCGAGCACCGCTCCCCACACAGGGTGGGCTCCTCTCTTTGAAGGGCTCTCCCCACTCCCTTTGCTTGGCGGCCTTCTTTCCACCTCCTGGTTCTTGGCTCAGGCACCATCTCCAAGATCTGACCTTCACTACCACCCGTGTCTGCGGTCAGTTCCACCTTTACTCTCCCTCCCAGGGCACTTTCTTCTCCTCGTTCCATAGTTCAGAGTCAGAAACACCGTGGTTTGAATCTGTTTGATTGATTATGCACTGGTTGCCTATCTTTCCTAGTAGAGCCTGAACCGGAGAGGGCAGGTCCCATGTCTGTCTTGTTTGCTATGCAAGCTCCAGCGTTTCCTGTCTAGCACAGTGCCTGGTCTGAGTGCAGTAAACCTTTGTAGAATGAATAAATGGATGAGGAACCAACCAACAAACAAATAAGGAAGTTGACTTTTAGGATACGAGTGGAACTAGAGCCATCGGCAGTTCCAGTGGCTTTGGGACAGGCTACCCTGTTGCGTTATGATGTCCTTGCTACTTACTCTCTTTCCTGTCTCGTCCTAACCAGCCCCCGTTGCTCTCTAGTTTCTGTTTGCTCGTAACTGACTGCACACGGCCACGCCTGACACAGCTTCAACTCCCACACATTACAGCGTCCCCTCTGCCGATTCCTTAGTTCAAGTTCCCGAGAAAGAGAATCTGATCTCCCCAGTTCATTTCTTTGAGCGAAGGGGCCACTGCCTGGATTGGCTACCGTGGGTCAGGTGACACCGCTGTCTAGGAGCTGGTCCTCTGGGGGTGGGTCCCGAATGTCAAAAAACAGCAGAGGCCATGAGCCAGCAGGCTTTCCTCCGGAAGGGTGGTGTGGGTGGTGCAGGGCGGAATTGCCGGTTCTAGCCTAGGTCCAGCGCCCTGAGGGGAAGCCCTGATTCTAGAACAAACATCTCCCACTAGGAATGCTTTTCTGTCCCTTGTTTCACCAGGTTGAAGCCGTCAGCAGACTGCGGCCCGTTTCGGGGTCTGCCCGTCTTCATTGAGTCCATCTACAGCTGGATCGATACCCTGAGTCACAGCACCAGCTACCTGTGGGTGGTTTGGATCTACCGTAACCTCATTGGGAGCGTGCACTTCTTTTTCATCCTCACCCTCATTGTCTTGTAAGTGGGGCACCTTGGGAAACTCGCGGGGGAAACGCTTCATTAACACGGCCCATGGTCAGGCATGTGGGCATTTGGTGGGAGAGCCAAAGGCTGCAGCATGGCTCCGTGTTCTGGATGACCCCGACTCTGCCCTGGAAGTTTTCAAAGTTATTTACTATCTTCTTGTTTTTAAAGATTTTTTTTTTTTTTTAGATTGGGGGGTTGGGGTTAGGGGAACAGCGTTCGGGAATCGGGGAAGGGGAACAGACAAGCTGCTGTCCTTTTGTTCTTCAGTCTAGTTGTGGAGGATGTCGCTTCACTGGCCCATGTTGGTATTATCATTGCGCTCTTCC